TCCATTTATAAAAGCGTTGTATATTAAAAAGTTTTTTTTATATTATTTATTTTCTACTTTTTAGTCCTGTCTGAATAAAATTTTGCAATAGATATTAAAATAATTCAACGATATTAATAGAAAGGTGCACACACATGCATTTACATATGTATGTACATACAAACGAGCACCAATTAATTTTATTTAAAGAAATGGCGTGTCGTCTATTTCCGCTGTAGCAAACGTAGTACATAGGGCGACATCTAGATGTCATCTACCTCGCCCTATTCACTACAGATGTCGCCCTATGCACTATGCTTTTTTATAGGAACTTTTCAAAGCAAAGGTTTTATGGTGTCGGACACACAACATTGAAAGTTTCTGGATCCACAACATTGAAAGTTTCTGGACACACAACATTGCAAGTTGATAAAAGCGTTGTAAAATAGAAATAAGAAATGAGCAAACAATTTGATGTTTTCATTATATAACCTCAAATATCGCAAAAAACCCTGTTTTTGGCAATCTGGGGGTAGGATATCTAAAAATTCTAGTACTAGAGCAATTGTGCGGTCAGATTTGGATTCAGCACCAAGAAACGATGTGTTTTACTCAGGTGGTAAAAACATCAAAATTTGTACAAACAATTAGAAAAGAAAAAAGAAATACTTAACTTACCTGCGTACTAGCATTTTCATGCACTAAGCATTTAAATTTGTATATTCTTGTAAATTCCGCATCTTCATGAGACACCACAGCTTATAATATTTCAAATTATTTCAGGTTTTAACTATCTCGGAGTAATATTAGGTCAAAAAAGCATTAAAAAAGGCACTAGGCACTAAGTAATTTTCTTGGCGTTTTAATTTTCAAAAAAACACTAAATCTAGTGTTTAAAGCACAAAGTTGGCAACTATGGCTGTAATATTCAATATTCAATTTATAGACTTATTCCCGTAAACTGTTAATAAATAAACTAAAGGTGTATTTTATTATTAAATAAACAAACTGTTTCATCTGTAAAGGTTTTATCTACACACACATATATATAATATGTATATATATATATATGTATATATATGTACATGTGGGGACAACACCTACATTCATATATAGAGATAAACATATATATAACCTTACATCTCTGATAAAAACATCACTCCCGCGTTTACGCTATACAGCGCATGAGTAAAAAAGTTCGACTTTGACAGGCTGTCACTCGTAAACTAAGAACCTTCGAGCTTTCGGCCTATGGAGACTTTTGTTCTACGTGTTAAGGACTATCATCCTGCAAAAACTTAAGGATTGGCTGAAAGCCATTTCCCATAAAAATTCTGCGGGGTCCTTTCGCTCTGGCTACGCCCATGAAAATATCAAATTAATGATAATAACTTGTTCTTTCTAAATAATATATATATCTTTACCACTAACTATGCAGAATTTTTTTCAAAATAGGTTATTTTATGAAAAAATAACATTTGTTAGTTTTTTAATGGCTTTGGGTAAAAAATATAAAGAAGCATATAAATTATGTACATCAGCTGAAAGATAAATTGATTGTCTCTGTTTTGACGTCATTAGTTTTTTAATCGGTTATGTATGTAATACATAAGATATTAGTATTTAAAAAATAAAAAAAAACGTAACCTTCTAGATCGTCTTTAATTTTTACTTGCGCCAAATAACTTTGGCATGGTTGAAATGAGCGTAAAAAGTTCTATGGATCTGAATTTTTCGTTTTTGCATAACTGAACGGTCGGTTTTCTAGTTTTGTTACAGGGAATAACAAATAACTTAAATTATAAATCCATATATTTACGCATTGCTTAGCATTTCTATTAAAACACCAAATATATTGAAAATTCACATAGAATTATTAATACACATTTTACTTCTAATTGTATACTTTGCGTACTTTTTTAGTACCTTTCTACCCTTCTCGCAAAAGGCGATCTCATTTTTCCCCTTTCTCCTACTTCCAAAATACAAATCTAGATAAAGGAGTGTCCAATTTGAGCTGTCAAAAATTACACAACCTTGTATTATTGAATCATGGTTACCAGGGTCTGGATTCTGTTACTGTAAGTTTTCAAGTGTACACTGAAAATCGTGTTCCCTGTCACTTTGCGATTCAGCAATGCGAGAATGAGTTTTAACTGTCATAACTATGTACACTTCCGTTTCTACAAACTCACAGCATTTTATTCGGTGAGCTTTGCTTTTCCTGTTGCTGCCTTTCAAATAAAATTTGTGAAAAATGGAAATGAAAGCAAAAAAGCTTCAAATGAACAAAAAGGCTATTTAATAGAATATATGGAAAATAAGTGAAATATTGATAAAAATGTGTTTTATTTATACAAATTCCTATGTTCTAGATTTGAATCGGTTGATGCTGCACATTTATGGGCTCAGAAGTGGGGTGATCTTCCACCGACCCTGCGAAATGGCGCAAGTATTGGTCTGACCAAAAGTAAGTAAGTAATTATAATTTTTATAACGTCTTCAAATGTTTTGTTTTCTACAGAAGGCATGCCAGAGAGAGGGAGGTGCTGCGAAGGTCAACGCTGGAGAAAAGTGGACGCAATGGGCTTGGGCATTTAAAGGAAGCGTTCGATTTCGAAAAAAGGGCGCTTCAACTCATGGTCCCAGCAGTCGTCACAGAAAACAACAAGAAATGCTAAATCTGACGGTAATTTGAATATTTTAAGACTAATGCACTAAAAAACTACATATCGCTACCTTACTATGGAGAGGCCCTAACTAGTTTTACCTTGTACAATGTAACGTAACGTACGCTACACTAACAGACATATGTACTTACGTACATATCTACACACACACATCCGTACAACCGTACATGCATACATAAACCACGCATTTACATACACATACATATCCACATACATACAACCATACATACATACGCTACGCACTTATATACATTAGACTGCATCACCAAAAAAAGTTGCGTTTTTTCCGCCAGGATTACAAACTTTATAATATTTAAAGACGTCCGCCAAAATATTTCGGAAAAATATTAAGATTTAAGTGAGCTGGACCGATTTGAAAATACCTCCAAAAATGGAGTTTTTTATTAATAAAAATAGTTTCTTAAAGAACTCAGATGACAAAACAGATTAAGCTTAAAAAATCTGCATAAAAATATTTTCAACGGAATCGTAAGAATGAGATTTTTGATGCTGTTTTTTTTTTACTTTTTTCAAAGATTGATTTACAAAAAAACTTGAATAACTGGCCCAAAAATATTCTTATTTCGACTTATGGGATCTCGATAAAAAGGTATTTTCACACTGTTTTTATTCCTGTCCAAAAAAAGTCATTCGTGTCCCGTTTTTTTTTTGAAATACCAACACATCTTAATTCAACTTTTAATGACGTTCGTTCATCCTACCTTTCTCTTTCGTCCTTTTAATGAGTTTATTATCAAAGAAATAAAAAGGGTGAGAAAATATCTTTCCAATGACACCTCTTAAGTCTAAATCGGAAGAGCNTTTTTTTTTTGAAATACCAACACATCTTAATTCAACTTTTAATGACGTTCGTTCATCCTACCTTTCTCTTTCGTCCTTTTAATGAGTTTATTATCAAAGAAATAAAAAGGGTGAGAAAATATCTTTCCAATGACACCTCTTAAGTCTAAATCGGAAGAGCTTAGGTTCAGTTATTCAAGTTTTTCTTATACCAATCTTTGAAAAAAGTTAAAAAACAGCATCAAACATCTCATAATTACGATTCCGTTTAAATTTTTTTTTTAATTTTTTAAAAATATTTTCATGCAAATTTTTTAAGCTTAAACCGTTTTGTCATTTGAAAGGATTTTTAAAAAAAAATCTTTAAGAAACTATTTTTATTCATGAAAAACTCCATTTTTGGAGGTATTTTCAAATCGGTCCAGCTCACTTAAATCTTAATATTTTTCGGAAATATTTTGGTGGACGTCTTAAAATGTAATAGATTTTATAATTCTAATGGAAAAATAGTACCGATTTTTCTTTCTATGGGGAGCGATGCAGTCTAATATACATACAACCTTACGTATGGACAATCAAAGCCAAGCACGCAAAAGTGCGCGATCTTCATTCGCTTCTCAACCTGTTCATTTAACAACCGACTTAAGTTGATAGACGCTAACTCAGCCAGCACCAGCTTCCGTAGGTAAACACGGAGTGCATTGAGACGGCTTAGGCCGCGTAACTTTGAGAGCCCCTAGCTCTTCCTAGGGGAAAGGTTGAGAGGTTGAAGGGGCCTGTGAAAGGGGCCCTTCGCACAGACCCCAAACCCACTTTTTTCATAAAACCGGTATCAGTGGACAGGAGACTAACCCTCCTGCCCACTCCGATTACCGCGTGGCGAGCGGGTAAAACCGCCCCACAATGCCAAATCACCATGACTGAATACATATTTAGATAGATGGATAGATATTAATATGAGCTGTGCACTGCGACCTGGTGATCTATTGTGCCCTCTTCTCTTCACATCACTTCATCTAAGCCCAGCTCCCTCAGAAAGTTCAATAGTGCCTTCGGGGGTAGGGAGTGGATGTGTTCAAGCTGTGGCCACAACGAGCCTAAACTCCTCTCAGGTCTTCTGCAGACAGCCTCACATTCGGTGAGAATGTGAAGCGGCGTCTCAATGGTCAGGTCGCAGAACCTACAAAGATCATTCGACCATATGCCCAGCTTATGTAGGTGACCCCTAAGTCTGCAGTGTCCTATAAGGAAACCTGTTAAAATTCTAAGCCTCTCTTTTGGGAGGTTTATTAAACCCTGAAATCTTTTCTTGCTAAACCCTCCAAGTAAACTCTTTGTCTGGCGCATTCCTACCGAACTGCGCCAGTTAAAATTCCTTAGTGTGGCCTCTCTCTCCTAAGCTCCTCCTTTATGGTATTGGGACCTACTCCCAGGAAGGGCTCTGGGCCAACTGGGGTGATGGCTGCCGCCTCTATAGCGAGGCAGTCTGCAACCTCATTTTCCTTTACTCCCCTATGGCCGGGTACCCACGCTAACCTGATGTTATTGTGTCTGACAAGGGAGTTTAGCTTCTCAATGCACTCAAGGACCAGTGAGGATTTGACTTCAAAGGATAGAAGAGCCTTGAGTGCCGCCTGACTATCACTCAACATTATAATTTTCTCATTTCTATACCCTCTACTCATGATTGTTTCCGCACATAGATAGATTGCATAGACTTCTGCTTGGAAGATGATCGGGTATTTCCCCATAGGAACATAGATTCTTCTTCTGGGCCCAAGGACTCCTGGCCCTACTCCATCTGGGGTCTTCGAGCCATCTGTGTACCAGTGCAGTGTGCACTCATGTAGTAATCCATCGAATGCGGGGGCGCTCCAGATTGTTTTGCTGCATAACTCTATCTTAAATCTCTTATCAAATACTATAGTTTTCCTATGTCATCTCTAGGGAACAGAGAAAGCGGGATCGAGGCCCCTAGCTTCTCCATATTCCTAGAGGATATGACTTTACCTTTGCCACATCCCTCTCTAGCAAAGCTGAGTAGAGTTATTTTGGCTGCCTTCTCTATGGTTATGTGAAAAGGCTCGAGTTCGAGGACTACTTCCAGCGCCGTCGTACTACATGTGCGCATTGGTCCAGTTATGCATACACAAGCCAGTTGTTGTAGCTTGGTGAGTGATTGTCTCACCGTGGCCAGAGTAGTTCTTGAAACCCAAGCCACTGCCCCATAGGTAATCATTGGCTGTACTATCATGATGTAGAGCCATCCTAGGATCCTGGGGCTACGACCTCAGGATTTTCCTGCTAGACGCTTACACACCATTAACGATTTCGTGGCCTTGGAGGTGATTGCGTCCACATGCTTCTTCCATAGAAGTTTTGTGTCTAGGATTATTCCCAGATACTTCACTTCGCTGGCGACGCCGACCACGACCTCCTCCAGGGTTATGTCCCTCATGCCCAAGAGGGCTCTCTTTCTGGTAAATGGGATGATGGCGGTTTTGGCCGGTTTGATGCTAAGGCCCAACTTAGCACACCATCTTTTTGTTAATCTTAACCCTCTTTGATTAATGTCGCAGAGGGTGCTCTCAAACTTCCCCCTGGCAATGATCACTATGTCATCCGCATAGCCTTGGCAGTGGATATCATTTTCAGAGAGAAGCTGAAGGAGTTCATCTACCACTAAGCTCCACAGAAGAGGGGATAGAACCCCTCCCTGTGGGCAGCCATTTATTGCTAATAGCTGTACCACGCTGTCCCCCACCTTGGTTTCAGCAATCCTAGTATGCAACAGCGTATCCACCCAGTTGCAGATCACTGGCTGTACGTTTCTCTTCTCTAGTGCCCTGCGCACACCAGTGTGAGACGTATTGTCGAACGCTCCTTCTATATCGAGGAAAGCGCAGAGCACTGTTTCTCCGCATTCAAAAGCCCCCTGAATTTCGGTTGTCAGTTGATACAGGGCTGTGTCCGCGGACCTTCCAGCTCTGTATGCATGCTGACAAGCGTGTAGGGGTTTCACCTTCAGAATGCTAGATCTTATGTAATTGTCCACTACCTTCTCCATTGCTTTTAGCACAAATGAGTTAAGGTCTGAAAGACTTTGCAAGCGAGTAGTCCCTATTGCCCACCTTCGGGATAAAGATTACTCGCGCCCTCCGCCACACCAGTGGGACATAAGCCCTCGCAAGGCTGCTTCTCATTATGTCCGCTATGTGTGGTATTAAGTTCTCTCCACCCTGCTGCAACATGACTGGATGGATGCCATCTACCCCTGGGGCCTTATATCGGTCAAACGATCCCAGCGCCCACCTGACTGAATCCTGGGTGAAAATACTTCTTGCCAGTTTCCATTCACATGCTCGCGGTCTAGTTCACTGGACCCCCGGCCCCTGTTCTAAGGTAGTGGCCTCCGGGAAGTGAGTTGCAAGCAGAGTGGTTGCCCTCTCATATTTGCTGTTTGTATAGGTGCCAACCGGATGCTTTAATGCTAACTCCGATTCCACCGTTCCTCTGGCAAGAGCCTTGTGTAACCTCGCGGCCGGTGGAGTGTTCGAGATGCCTTCACAGAAGGTTCTGAAACTTTCTCTCTTGGCCTCTCTCTTGGTTAAAGGCGTCGGTCAGTATGTCCGTCAACCTATTACCCCTATATTCTAGCGACAATCTGCCATCTCTTCTATGTTGCCTTTCTATACCGGGTAGGTTAAAATCTAATAGTTTTCTATATTTTTTCCAGTCTGCATTCCTGGGGTCCCCACCGGAGGACTTACCGTGGCCTCCGCTCCGAGCACGAATTGGATAATTCTATTATCAGATAACGAAGGTCAAGGACCTCCTGTCTTACTCTGGTGACAAACGTCGGACAGTGTCCAACATTGTTTATACACATATCTTCGCTTAGTAGGTATTCTAATAAGGACTCACCCCTTTTATTGGTGTCGGTGCTCCCCCACTCCACGTGGTGCGCATTTGCGTCGGATCCGAGGACAAGAGGAAGTCGGGTCTTCCGGAAATGCGCCACCAGTTGTTGTACCTCTGCCGGGGTTATGGTATTACTGTCCCAGGGGAAATATGCAGCAGCGAAGACTAATTCCACGGGCCTTCCATTCACCCGAAGTGTCACTTGAACTGCTACCAAATCTTGCGTTAAAAGATCTGTAATGCATAAATAATCAATATCGTTTCTAAGCACTACGCATGCTCTGGGCCTCTCTGCGGCGAGGTCCCATATTACCTTGTTATTCGCTCCTTTGAGGCCCCTTACCTGGCCTCTGTAAGTCCACGGCTCCTGAATGAGTATAATGCCAAGATCGTCCGTAGAAAACCTGCTAGCAATTGCATGGTGCAAGTTGATCTGGGCAACTCTCAGGGGGGCGGTGGGTACCTCATCGCTCGTCGAGGTCCGAGAGCCTTAGGTCGCTCTCGCTTTTCCCGTCGAGCTCAAGCCTTCTCAGGTCTAGTCCCTCCATCAGCTCCTGCGTTGAGGGGACCTGCCCCTGTGCAAGAGCCGCTGATACTAGCTGGTTGGTGCCTAGCGGGTTGAAAGTTTGGGCTGAAGGTGCGGGCTGGCAAACCTATGCGTCCTCTACCGCTGTAGCTGTTGTAGCTGTTGACACGGGGGGACTTCGTCCACCTGCATATTTCCCTCGTCAGCTACCTTCTCTTCTTCCGCTGCCTTTTGTCGCCAGGACCTCATTGTAACATAGCTGAACCTAAAGTTCAGCTTATACTCAGCCCTCCTGACGCTAATGAAGGATTCCTCATCTATGCCCACGTTTAGCCGCATCCTCAATGCTGCTCGAGATGACGCGCCACGCTGGTGTGTTAAGACCTTCGTTTTGCGCCCTTAGCAGCCCCATCACATAATCTGCCGATCTGTCAGCACTTCTCGGCAGGAAGATAGTCATATTATGCATTGGTGGTATTTCATCACCCCGCTTGACGCATAGTGCAACTCCCTTCCAGCTCCCTAGTTTTGGAGCAAACTCTTCCAGCCATTTTGCCGTACCCTCATCCATGCAGTCCACAAGGAGCATACCTGGACGGAAGTTAATACCTGCAGGGTAGTCAACTCATCCGGACTCAGCGCCCCTTAGCGCGTCAGAGTAGCTGTGCGCCTGCCCTTCGCCGCCGCGCAGACGTTGGGCCCCAGTGCCTACCCCCGGGTCCCAATGCCGGAGGGGGTGGAAACTCACGCTGCTTCTTTGAAGCCAAGTTCTGGGGGGTTCACTGCCCGCTCTCCCGCTTTGCAGCGGGTGCGGTTTCACCGGAACCACTTACCCTTTTCCTCTGGTCTCCGTGCTTCTCATCCCGACTACAATGCCCGCTCTTCCTCTTTTTAGCGGGTGCGGTTTCGTTTACGCACCTGTCAAACCTTCTGCACGAATCACGGGTTTGCTCAACGCTCCGCTTGGGCTTGGGTTCCGCCTTCTTGTTGTAATGCCCGCTCTTCCGCTTTTCAGCGGGTGCGGACTGCCTGCCGGAAGCCTCTGCACCATGCTGCTGGTGCTGCCCGCTCTTCCGCTCATTTGCGGGTGCGGTCGTTTTGCCCTCGCGCTCATTGCCGCGTCTGCTCGACTCCTGCTGGGGTGATCTGCCGAGAGCCAGTCTCCTGGCTACCTCGGGAGTTTTACCTTGCTCTAGGTGCCTGACCTCATTTGCGCGCCGCTGAGGCCCAATCGTCTACGGTCGTCTAGGTAGCCAGGTTGCCCTCGACCCGGAACTGTAGGCGGGTTCGCCCGCCTATCCATACGGCGGTCTCTGTCCCGCCGCATGGACTCGCGCGATGTTGTCGCGCTGGACTGGCTTGGAGACCTGTGGCGCTCGCATGACGATTCGCTGTGGTGCCTACCTCTACCTCTTGTCGTCATCGGAGTCCCTCAACGCCCTTTCGTGGAAGATACCACTGCTCGTTTAGGTCTCATCATCATCCCTCTCGTGCTCAATGAAGAGCGCTGCTTCGGCATCGGAGATACCCTCTGGGTTATTAAACATTAATTTCACTAACTCCTTGCTTGTAAGATATTTTCCCCTTTCGGGGGGCTCAAACTCATTTGCTAAAACATATATAGTGTGTACCGGAGTTGAGGGTGTGAGGCCTATACATCTGCGTAGGGTGGAGTTTTGGAAGGTCATAATTTTTTTGTTTATTGTTTTTGATATCTTAGCAGCCGTAGTCTTTGCATATTCAACCTTTGACCTGATGAAGCTTTTGTATAGGTTCACCGCCACTTTTGGTGTTATACCTGCTTTTACCGGGGTCAGGCATTTTAAAAAGTTTGAATTTTTCTTTGTTTCCTTAACTAGCCCTTCAAAGTGAGGCCCAACCGTTAGTGATGCGTTGATGGTTCTACCAATAAATTTTATTTGTCTGACCTGTTCAATCTGAAAGTCGTTTATTTTCATGTTGATGTTTTTCTTGCTGCCTCGGGCTAGGTACATAAGTTTGGTTTTTTGAATATTAAAGGACAAATTTAATTTAGTACATATCTCACTGAAATTTTTAACCTTCCGTTCAAGGTTTGAAACCACCAAGTCGCAGTTGTCCCCATGTGCTAAAATCAAGAAATCGTCCGCAAACTGATACACGTCTGTCACTGAGTCCTCAATACTATGAAGTTCTTTTGTGTACACGTTGAAGAGTAGTGGCGAGAGACAGCTACCCTGTGGTAGGCCATCCTCAACCACTATCGATTCGTTGCCAAGAAGTAAGATTTTTTTTTTTTTTCAAGTCCATAATCCAGTTATTATATGGGTCAGGTAATTCCAGGTCCGCTAACATAGTATGTAGTTTGTTCAAAGACACACAATAATAGGCGTTGCTTATGTCCAGGGTCAGGACCACAGCCTTTTGCCCTGCGTGTTTAATATTAGCAACTTTGTGTAGGAATTCATTAATGCACATGGCTGCAGATTTACCTTTTCGATAAGCATAGCTTCTGTCTGGATATGAATTTTTACTGTTTAGAAATTCCTCTAGTCTACCCTTGACCATGAGATTTATTGTCTTTATGAGAACAGATATCAGAGATATCGGTCGAAAATTCTTATAATCACTTACGTCCTTGTCCGCCTTGGGTATCGGTACCACCCTTATTCTACGGAGTGAGTCGTCAATTTTACAATTTTGAAAAGCATCATTAAAAGAAATTAGTAGGTTTTTTTGCGCCGTTTCCGACCGAGCTCGTAGCATTTCGTATGTGATCTGATCACACCCCCCTGCTGACCTTTTCGTTTTCTTTTTTAGAACATTTTTCAGTTCCTCTTCCCCAAAAGCAGGCACCCATGACTCCAGGACATCCACTTTTTGTGCAATTTCATTATTATTGGTATTTGCATCTTGTCTAACCTGATTTTTCAGATGCTGCAGGTACACTCTATTGTTCGTGTCGTCCCACTGTTGTTTGGATTCCGAAGATCCCGCATTTTTAATATTTTTTAAGAATTTCCATGCCTCTCTGGTGTTGGGGTGACTATTGAGTGAGTTAAGATTTTTGCTGTAGTTTTCCTTTTTAGCTTCTTCTACCGCGTTTTTCCAGTTTTCCTTGGCTTCAGTCGCTTCCTTAAAGTTTTGAACCGTGGGATACTTGTTGCACTTTTTATTTGCAGCTAGTTGTAGCCTGAACAGTTTTTCCAAACCTTCATGCCACCAGGACTTGGGACGTCGCGTATCCTTGACAGTGAAAGTGGAATTTTTTATTTCGCTTGATATCGTTTTCTCAATTTGGTTGATGTTAGTGTCCAGCTTGGTAGTGCCTAAGTTGTTGAACAGATGTTTTTTATCAAGGAAAACAGGATTTCTTTTTTCGATCTTATCTAAGTGTATCACAATGGGGTAGTGGTGGCTGCCACCTAATTGACAGGGGACCACTTCCCACGTTGTCTTTGTTGCAATGTTAGTGAGAGTTAGGTCCAATACAGAGCCCCTAGCAGCTCCTAAGTTCGCTTTGAAGGTTATTGACCCGTTGTTTAAACAGGTAAAGCTTGAGTTATTTACAAAGTTTCTAAAAAAGTAGCCTCTACTAGATTCAATAACATCTCCCCACTCAGGTGTCCTAGCGTTAAAGTCCCCACATATCAGAACGTTCTGATATACTTCCAATGCTGTAAAAAGTTTCAATATTGCTTCCTTAAAAACCCCAACGCTTAAGGAAGGCTCAAAGTACACAGCACATATTACCAAGTTTCGAGCAAGGTTACAAGTTTGAACAATACATATGTCATGATTAGTATCAAAATTTATCTTACGGAATTTAATGGACTTTCTAAGGCCAATGGCCACCCCCCCATATCCATCATTTCTATTCTTTTTTATAATGTTGAAATTTAGAATGTTTTTCTTCACTACATACGACTCCTGAGAGAAAGTTTCGATCAGGCAAAAAATATCTATGTTGTACTTGTTTACATAGAATTCAACATGATTAATATTTTTATTTAAAGACTGACAGTTATGTTGCAGAATCTTCATGTACTTCTGTACTTGAAAGCGGATTAATAGTAATGAACTTGTGGTCTAAATCTAAGCAGAATTTCTTGAGTCTATCATCAAAGTGAGCAAAGGCGGTTACCCCTGCTGGAAAATCTATTCTTCTAAAAGCATCACTTGCAAATTTAATCATTTCCGAAACCAGTTTCTCCATTTCGGACACAATGTGTACATTGTTTTTTCAAAGCCACACCATAGGCTTCCATTGAGGCTACCCTCTTTTTTGTTTTGTCACTCATGTCCTCACTGACTTCAATATATTTATTTTTTTTTAATTGACTGGTTTTGTTTTGTCTGTGTTTTGCCATTGCTGCGTAGCTTTTAGGTGTTAGAATCTCGTTTACTTCCGCATCCCTGTCTCTTATGGTTTCTCGACGTTGACCTAAGCCAGGAAACTCATCCTCATCTAACAAGCTAAAACGATTTGACGCAAAGGGCGTGTAAGTCTTTATTACTTCCCTCCTAGTTAGTTTTTTAATTGTCATTATTTTACTAATCTCCTCTTCCTTTTCCCACTTTGAACATTTTTTCTTTTCGTTTGCTACATGATTTTCATCACTACAGAGAAGGCGACTTAATGGGTATAGTATAGGCCCAGCTAAGTTTAAAATACACAATGAACCATAATTGTGCATACGGCCATAAAAAGGGGGTTTAACTTTACAGAATGCCTCGCTTCACGGCCACCCGCACTAAGACCGAGAAACGGGTCGATCATTTTAAGATTCCCTGTCGGTTGTGCGGTAACAACCACGGAGTACGACTCTGCCCCATATACCGAGGGAAATCCGCCGAGGAAAGGTTGCGGGCGATTTTGATACATCGGTACTGTCCCAACTGTTTGTCGCCATTCCATCGGATAGAAATATGTGGAAGCAATGACCGATGCCACCGCTGCGACGAAAAGCACCATACCCCCCTGCATATTGAAGACTAGGGCGATCCAAGGGAAACGACGGCTCTGACGGAGCGATTTCGCTCCACGTGTCCGACCAAACGACGTCATGGGCGAAGCAGGTAGAGGAAGAAGAGGTGGAAAGACGGGAAGAGATAATCCCTCCACCACCAGACGGCGGCTTGAAAACCCGCAATTTTCGACCGCCGCTACAGCACGAACTTGAAGCAGACAGTCCCATGCCAGCAGTGCTGTCACACACACAGCCAACGGGCGGTCAACGAGATGACGCGGAAACTAGTCCTTTTCGCTCATATCGGCGCGGAACCAATTCTGGCCACCGAGATGACGCGGAAACTCTTCCTTTTCGCTCATTTTGGCGCACGCGTAATTGCAGCCAGCGTGATGGCGCGGAAACTCGTCCTTTTCGCTCGTCGCGCTGGCAAGCAATAAGGGCCGCACGACACCGACGTGGCGACCGTTCCTCCCTCACCATCCAACGCATTCCATCGCGTGGATTCCGGACAGGCAAGTTAAAAACAATCGCGGTTCCAGCACCAATAATGCGTTCATTCGTAGCCATCGCCCCAACCACAATTGTACGGATCGAGTCAGGCGGCCGACTTCATCTGGTGCGGGCGTTGATTGACTCTTGCGCCCCCAGCAGTACCATCGACAGGGACCTAGCACGGGAGCTTCAGCTCGAAGCCAGCAACGCCCGCGCGAAAACATGTTCCCCCGTGCTGCGAGGGAAGTACGGGGTCGCGGAACGGGTAAATACTCAGGCCAGGCTAGTTACGCGATACAACCGACTCAGCCCCGCGGCTAACATCGACCCAACGATAGCGACGCCGTTTCAATTTATGCGTCTGGCGGATCCACAGTTCTATCGGGCCACCCCCACTCGACTAACACTTGGCGTTGATGTGTACGCCCAGGTCATGGTATGTGGCACTCCGCCAACAACGATCGGCGGTTTACTGGCGCAAGCTTCCATGTTCGGGCTGATTATGATGAGCTCACCAAATGTGACAAAACAGTTAAAATTTTATATTTAATATTCATGAATACATACCGAATTTAAATAAAAGTGCAATGAAATGATCAACCACACCTTTTTTCCTTATTAGCTTTTTCTTCCATTTTTTCCCCGTAGCTAGAGACTGCAAGGAGGACCGGAGAACGTGCGGACTAGATCCCCGGGCAAGGACCAATCTGCGGCAGAATTCACAAAGTTAAAGAACATAATTTACAATGTAAATAAATTTAAATGTAAGGTGTGGTGGCTGAACCATCTTTGAGACGTTGCTTATAGCAAGGGGGCCGGTATGTTTAGGCCTCCACGCTAAATCAAATACTTAAATTAAATTATCGGGTGTACCACCGTAATGTTAATTTAACAGATGCACACACATACACATTCGTATGTGAAACAAGACAAAAAGAAAAACTGCACTTTTCCTGTCAGTGCACTTTCGTTAAATTTCCCCTGAAAACGGAACTCTTCAAACCGTTTAGAGGGTTCGACTTCAGTTTCTAACTTTTTAAACATTCTATTGAATTTCAATCACCAGCGATTACGGACGTTCCGCCACCACACCACTTCATAATCAAGGTAACATTGTAAGCCCCCTTGAATTTTAATATGCCTATTAAATAAACCGCCAAACGTAATTATATTTCAAACTAAAACCTGGTGCTTTTGTTTTCTTATTTTTTCAATAAAAAACACTGGTGCACTTATCGGGTCTATACCCATTAAGTCGCCAGGGTTTTTCAAATATTATTTATAGATATTAAAGAAAATTCAAAAGATCCCTTTGGCCAAATTTTCAAAATCTGGTTTTACGTCAGTTAAAGCGGTTCGTTACAGTTATGTTAAATGTTGGTTAGTCAATATAGTCGTACTTGCGTTTAAAATCTCCCGTAAAAAATGTCCAACAGCAAAATTCCGGCGAAATGTCATCTGTTCTCTCAAAGAGAGAAATATCTAAAATAGTATCTACGCGAACAGAAAATTTGCAGAAACTTGCAAGTTAGACGAACAGCTCATAGAAATTTTGTTTACATTCAAAAGAATAAAATTGAAAACATAAGAAAACAAATCCCGAAGTATTAACCTGACACAGTTCACTGACTAAACGAATAATTACTTACTTCTTATAAGTTTAATTAGTCTCATTTTACTATTTTATCTTCCAAACCATCAAATTCAATTTAGAGATTTGCGTAAATTCCTACCAGCTGTTTTCTTGTTTTCAAAAATTTTTCCAGCAGAAACTAGCAGGTCTCCCTCAAAATTAAATGTCATTTTGTTTTCTCAATTTCCCCTACTTTGCAAGTTTTTTGTGTACGCGAACACAAAAAGCTGATAGTTTTTATAACTTTCAATAATTATTGAATAATTATAATTATCAGGTACGCGAATGCAACTAATTGTGAACGGTATTTTGACTTTACGAATTGCATTGTAGAAAATTGAAAATATACGGGACGCAACTGTTTTCAGCAGCGGATATTTTAAATCTGGTACTTGTTACCGGAATTCAAGCCATAGGAAAGCGAAGAAGAGTTTTAGTTTTTGCTCCTTGTATTGCAAATTCATCCTCAATTATGTTACATAAAAAAGGGTTTATGAAGTATGCAAACGTCCACTTAAATAATTTCAAATCGGTAAATCTTTTTTCAAAATGTGCTTTTAAATCATGTGCAATATTTTTTCTAGGCCATGGAAAATTATGGAATATTCTTGTTTTGAGATCGTAGTTTAGCTTCACAATGTGCTTTTAAATCATGTGCAATATTTTTTCTAGCCATTGAAAAGTATGGAATATTCTTGTTTTGAGATCGTAGTTTAGCTTCAAAATTTTAAATAATTTGCGACNTTTCAAAATGTGCTTTTAAATCATGTGCATTATTTTTTCTAGGCCATGGAAAATTATGGAATATTCTTGTTTTGAGATCGNCTTAAATAATTTCAAATCGGTAAATCTTTTTTCAAAATGTGCTTTTAAATCATGTGCAATATTTTTTCTAGGCCATGGAAAATTATGGAATATTCTTGTTTTGAGATCGTAGTTTAGCTTCACAATGTGCTTTTAAATCATGTGCAATATTTTTTCTAGCCATTGAAAAGTATGGAATATTCTTGTTTTGAGATCGNTACAGTTATGTTAAATGTTGGTTAGTCAATATAGTCGTACTTGCGTTTAAAATCTCCCGTAAAAAATGTCCAACAGCAAAATTCCGGCGAAATGTCATCTGTTCTCTCAAAGAGAGAAATATCTAAAATAGTATCTACGCGAACAGAAAATTTGCAGAAACTTGCAAGTTAGACGAACAGCTCATAGAAATTTTGTTTACATTCGAAAGTATAAAATTGAAAACATAAGAAAACAAATCCCAAAGTATTAACCTGACACAGTTCACTGACTAAACGAATAATTACTTACTTCTTATAAGTTTAATTAGTCTCATTTTACTATTTTATCTTCCAAACCATCAAATTCAATTTAGAGATTTGCGTAAATTCCTACCAGCTGTTTTCTTGTTTTCAAAAATTTTTCCAGCAGAAACTAGCAGGTCTCCCTCAAAATTAAATGTCATTTTGTTTTCTCAATTTCCCCTACTTTGCAAGTTTTTTGTGTACGCGAACACAAAAAGCTGATAGTTTTTATAACTTTCAATAATTATTGAATAATTATAATTATCAGGTACGCGAATGCAACTAATTGTGAACGGTATTTTGACTTTACGAATTGCATTGTAGAAAATTGAAAATATACGGGACGCAACTGTTTTCAGCAGCGGATATTTTAAATCTGGTACTTGTTACCGGAATTCAAGCCATAGGAAAGCGAAGAAGAGTTTTAGTTTTTGCTCCTTGTATTGCAAATTCATCCTCAATTATGTTACATAAAAAAGGGTTTATGAAGTATGCAAACGTACACTTAAATAATTTCAAATCGGTAAATCTTTTTTCAAAATGTGCTTTTAAATCATGTGCATTATTTTTTCTAGGCCATGGAAAATTATGGAATATTCTTGTTTTGAGATCGTAGTTTAGCTTCACAATGCGCTTTTAAATCATGTGCAATATTTTTTCTAGCCATTGAAAAGTATGGAATATTCTTGTTTTGAGATCGTAGTTTAGCTTCAAAATTTTAAATAATTTGCGACAAATCAAAAAAATTTGATTCTCTCCATGTAGAGACAAATTCAAGTCTTGCAAATGTTCCATCATATCGGTAAAGAACATTAAGTCAGAAAGACAATTTTCATTCTCCGATTGAGGATAATATTCCGATCTCAATTTGGGTATGTGTATATACAAAGAATAAAATAAAAAAACAACACAACGGAAAAGAATGTTCAGCAAAGAAATATGTATTTTAAAAAGTAAAAAGAGACAAAATTTTCTAAATAAAGAGAAAGTTGCAATATTTATTGAAATATCGTAGTTTTTCGCAGTTTTCGAAAATACCGTTATATGGCATGGTTGCAGTCCGCTTTCGCCCATTTTCAATACCATGATACCTTGGATAAAAGGAAACCTACATACCGAAATTCGTTGATTATGTGAACAAAGTTATTATACCCTTGTTCACAAGAGTGCTCGGATATAAAAATGCAGGGATTTGAATTTGGCTGTATAAGCGTTTGAAAGCGAATTTTTGTCAGTAGTGATATTGTATTCGAAAGAATGGACAAGATAAATATAAGGATATAGATAGAGATTAAGTTTAAATTAAGAGTAAGATTAAGATAAAGATAAGGATTAAGACTAAGATTAACATTGATATTGAGATTAAGATTAAGAATAATAAGATTGAGATTAAGATGAAAATAGAGCTGAAGATAAAGATTACGACTAAGATTAAGATTATGATTATGACTATGTTATGAGTTTCATTATGATTATGAATATTAAAATGAGTATGAGTATTATTGTGCTTTAATGCAATAAGAACAACGCCATATTTTCAAAAAAAATTGGAAATTATGCACAGAACTGAACGCTTGTATTCGCTCCTACCATAAACGAATAATCCTGGCGAATTCGCGCCTACTTTTTCCGCTCCCATGGATGTACACCGAAAGCAAGGGCGCCCATGAAGGCGCAAGTGCAGAAGGAGCTGTCTGCACTCGGAATGAACAACTGCCGCACATTTGCAAAGGAGAGAGGCAAGTCTCGGCTCATATCTGCCAAATAAGAGGAAGAAAATTTCGGATACTGTGATATGTAGAGCTCGGAGTTTAAAAATAAGCCTAAAAACATATAAAATCAAAATTATAGGCAAGTGTATAGCAATTTCCATACACTTATGATGGTACACAGTTTTCGGCTTATTTTTAGCATAAAAATCCGAGCTCTACTGATATAATACTACACACATAAATATGTATATGCATAATTCGCCCAATTTATGAATACCAATAAATTTATAATCGTATATATAGTAAGATCAATTTATTAAGAAGACAAACGCATTATTCAAATAATTGGTACATTAACAAAACTTAATGCTCTTCAAAAATACATAATACATACATTTCTACGGCAAATAACAACTTTAATCACTTATATGTAACGACGTATTTAATCATGAAATAGTACAACTGTTTCGATTATTAGTCAATGAGTATTTACACTGATATTTTAATCTGGAACCATAATTTATATTTTGAATGCTCTGGGACGTCGTAAGTGCGTAGGACTTTAGAGTAGATTTCACTGATGCTGGCAAAGTTAAAGAATCAATCGCATATACACTCGTGCATCTAACAACTGTTCGGCAACATAGCTCCTGTAAAGACAAAACTAAAAAAGAAAGAAGGTAATTCATTGGTATTTCTGATGCGACGAAATTGTGCATATTCTTTGGTCGGAACATAAGTTTTGATGACAAAGTATACAAAATTTGCACATACACCGAAACCAAAGAACTAACTTAAATTTCGGCAGAGCAATATGTTCAGAGGTTGCGGATGCAATGCCAAATTTGTTCCTTTTTGTAAATGGCAATGATTGTCAGGAATTTTTATGGGGATTTGAAGAGGAGAGAAACATAAAAATCATGCTAAAATTCATGAATTTTGTTTATGGGGCAAAGTTCGCCAAGTGTACGAGGAAAAAATTTTATGTCAGCATGTTGTTTAAACTCCACCCCTACAAGTCCTTTTAGACAAAAGAACTAACTTAACTTAAGGCAAAAGCAATATGTTCACAGGTTTCGGATGCAATGCCAAATTTGTTCCTTTGTGCGTATGGCAATAATTGTGAGGATTTTTTATGGGGATTTGAAGAGCAGAGAAACATAAAAATCACGCTAAAATTCATGTATTTTGTATATGGGACAAAATTCGCCAAGTGTAGGGGGAAAAAATTTTATGTCAGCATTTTGTTCAAACTCCACCATGTTGTTGCTACGCTTACGGGTAGCCAATGGGCGCGTTTATAAGACGTAGCTGTTTCCCAACCGTTGGCTATTTGTCTTAGAAACGCCCAGTTGAGTAGTTACGCTCAGCCCAACAGTTGGAAACTTAACGCTACCTGAACTCAACGTGTTGGGCTTAGCCTAAACAGCTGATCGAAAAGACTTACGCCGCTTATATTAAATTTAACGCCGCTTTGTTAGGTGGCAGCTGCAAACAAATTTATTATATTTTATATTACTGACGTGATAAAGTAACTAAAATATTTTATAATAATACTACGTTTCTAAATATATATTTTTAAGTTGTTTGCTATATAATTTAACACTGTTTAACTCATTGTAACATTGAACAATTTTTTCACACGGCGGCCGCTCAGCGTTGAATTCTAAATAGTATCGGTGCAACTATCTCTATTTGTTGCAATTTCATTTGTTTACATTTATCAGCTGTTAATTNTTGTTTGCTATATAATTTAAGACTGTTCAACTCATTGTAACATTGAACAATTTTTTCACACGGCGGCCGCTCAGCGTTGAATTCTAAATAGTATCGGTGCAACTATCTCTATTTGTTGCAATTTCATTTGTTTACATTTATCAGCTGTTAATTTTCCAGCATATTCATCAAGCCGTTTCTAAGACGTAATTGTTGGGTTCAACAGTTGCCAGCAGTTTCGTAGCAGATGAACGCGACCAATGTGTAAAATAACTGTTTTTGTCGAGTTATACAAGTTTAAAAATGGAAATTTCAGCCATTTTTCTTAGTCAGAAGTTTTCTTAAACTTTTGATCTCATGTCATAATTATGATAGAGAATCTAAAATTGCTGACCTATTAGAACTTTTTCCGTGCTTCTTGGTAGGAACTATAATTAAAAAAAAAAAAATTTTTTGTTAAATCGCTTGTTTTCTAAGGTTTTCAATGNTATGATAGAGAATCTAAAATTGCTGACCTATTAGAACTTTTTCCGTGCTTCTTGGTAGGAACTATAATTAAAAAAAAAAATTTGTTTGTTAAATCGCTTGTTTTCTAAGGTTTTCAATGATATATAACTTGTATTCTGATTTCGTAGTCGGATTCATCTGAAAATTGTTAACAAAAAATGCATACAAAAACGTTGCGGCTGGCCAACTAGATCCAATGAAAATTGCACTTTTTTAAGATCTCAAAACCCCGAAATTTGACTATATCTCAAAAACTGGTTTATTTTCTTGTGCTCTGATTCCGAAATCGAATTCAGCGGAAAATTCTTCTTGGCCAACTATATCTAAAGACAATGGCCCATAGTCATACTCGTAAGTTAAAACTTATTCTTGTTAAAGCAAGGTTTAAGTTTAGAATAGATTTTTAAGTTGTGGTAATCACAGACATCTTAGAAACAGCCTTTTGTTAAGATGAGGAGAAAAATTTACTCGGCAATATAAAGAAATATTAGTACATTAATTAGATCACCCTGTGTCCGCTACAGGATTGCGGATTTAGCAAGCCGGGAAGTCGTGGGTTACAAATTTTTTTACATCTTTTTTGGTTCTTTTAAATATTATTTACATTTTTTATGTAATTGTAGTTGTTGTGACCTTTTTAACTAAAACTAAACTCCAAAAAATTGATTATCTTCAAAGAATTATGTGAAATATCATAAACAAAAAAAGATAATAAAATAAAATTTAATACAATAAAATAAATTGATGTTTATATTAAAAAAAAAAAAAACAATTTAAAAAATATTGTTTGGAATCGCTCAGAGTAGGGACCGAACCTGGGTGCTATTTCGTTCACTATTTCAACAAAAAAACCAAACTTAGAACCTTATTTTACCATTTTAAAATCGCGTTCTCCTCATTTTAAAGTTAAAATTCTGTTTCTGCCATAAAAAGAATTTTAAGTTTACTATGCAAGAGTTAAAATGGTGATTACAATAAAACACAATTTTAATCGTTAAAACCTTTTTCTAACTTCTCTATGACTACGGGAAAATTTTATTGAGTGCACTTTTTTCCGATGCCAAAACCCCGAAATTCGGTTATTACATTGTTTATACCGACACATAAAGCGCTTTAACCAAGCTCGCTGTGATTCCAAACGGATGCATAAACCAAATTTCAATACGCTAAGGAAATTCAAAAGTGTATCGACTCGAATTTGTTTTCAAATCGGTTTTTTATTTCTCACAGCCCACATAGGAGTGCATTAAAACCGGTCAAAAGTCAGATTTACCAATTTTTTCAAAAGTCCAATAAAATATACTATTCCCAAAGCTAAATAACTGATCTATTGAACGGTAGCCATGAAAACTCCCTCCGCTACTTTCCCTTTGACATATGTCAAACTGAAAACAGTCAATGTTGTGATAGATTTTTTTCTACACGCTTTCAGTCGGTCTACTTGTTTCTTCGGCAATTGTAATTTAGATAAGACCTATTTCAAGAAAAAACCTTTTGAACATGAAAGACGATGGCCATTTCTATCATTTAAGNAAAATTTTATTGAGTGCACTTTTTTCCGATGCCAAAACCCCGAAATTCGGTTATTACATTGTTTATACCGACACATAAAGCGCTTTAACCAAGCTCGCTGTGATTCCAAACGGATGCATAAACCAAATTTCAATACGCTAAGGAAATTCAAAAGTGTATCGACTCGAATTTGTTTTCAAATCGGTTTTTTATTTCTCACAGCCCACATAGGAGTGCATTAAAACCGGTCAAAAGTCAGATTTACCAATTTTTTCAAAAGTCCAATAAAATATACTATTCCCAAAGCTAAATAACTGATCTATTGAACGGTAGCCATGAAAACTCCCTCCGCTACTTTCCCTTTGACATATGTCAAACTGAAAACAGTCAATGTTGTGATAGATTTTTTTCTACACGCTTTCAGTCGGTCTACTTGTTTCTTCGGCAATTGTAATTTAGATAAGACCTATTTCCAGAAAAAACCTTTTGAACATGAAAGACGATGGCCATTTCTATCATTTAAGACTAAATTTAAGTAAATTACTTTTAATATGGCCACCTTTTAGAAAATTTAGAATCCGTTTATTTTGATATTTTTGTAAATATTTGTACTTTCGTTTACTTGTCAAGGTTTGGCAAAGTTTGGTTCCTTGAAATATATGTAACTACAGTTATCTTTGAACAATTAAAGCAAAAATAATGTGCTCTCATGTGCTCCATTTTGAACCACAGGAGTCGTAAAATGGTAATTTGAGATTTTATTGATACAAATGTTCAATGTAAAGTTATAAAGATAGTAGCATTGTTAACAATTATAGGTCTGACCTTCAATTTGGTAAAAACTACGTAACGATTGAATACTATTTGTCAAAGATCTACATATGAAAACCCCGATCCATCGCTAGTTTTTTCCTACTTTTTTCTTCATGGGTACCTAAATTTACTGAGTTGTTACCCTTTAATTTTAAAGTCCTCGGGAGATTCTTTGAAGGACTATGAAACTGGACAATAATGCCTCTAATCGGCTTCGGCGAGAACGATTTACCGCATTCTTTTTCTTATCTTTAAGTTATTTATTATTGAAAAAGCATCAGAACTTTAGTAATGAAAATTTTTGCACACTTCGCAGTTATTCGCAATCAAGAGCCGGNGGAGATTCTTTGAAGGACTATGAAACTGGACAATAATGCCTCTAATCGGCTTCGGCGAGAACGATTTACCGCATTCTTTTTCTTATCTTTAAGTTATTTATTATTGAAAAAGCATCAGAACTTTAGTAATGAAAATTTTTGCACACTTCGCAGTTATTCGCAATCAAGAGCCGGTCTAAAAGAACGAAGTGCATATCTTGTCTTTTTCTGAAAAAAGCTTTTTGTAGACTTATGGTAACTCAATATAACTAAATATTTCACGAAAATTATCCAAAGATGTGTAATTAGCAATTTTTATCCCATAAATCCCTAATTATGATTAAGTTTCATGTTTTATTTAATTATTGAGAAGAAAAACATATATAATAATTTNCTGTAAAAATAGCTTAAAAATATAAGAAAACGAATGCCGAAAAGTGTATTCGAGAGTCAACAGCTTTCATCGAAGCTGGGTACCTAAATTTACTGAGTTGTTACCCTTTAATTTTAAAGTCCTCGGGAGATTCTTTGAAGGACTATGAAACTGGACAATAATGCCTCTAATCGGCTTCGGCGAGAACGATTTACCGCATTCTTTTTCTTATCTTTAAGTTATTTATTATTGAAAAAGCATCAGAACTTTAGTAATGAAAATTTTTGCACACTTCGCAGTTATTCGCAATCAAGAGCCGGTCTAAAAGAACGAAGTGCATATCTTGTCTTTTTCTGAAAAAAGCTTTTTGTAGACTTATGGTAACTCAATATAACTAAATATTTCACGAAAATTATCCAAAGATGT